AAATTTAGAAAGATATTGGATTTTATTAATGGTAGTTTAATAAGTTACAACTATTTTAAAACAAGTTGACAACATGCCCTGGAAAAGAAATAATTCATATATAGGTCATGTAAAACTTACCCTAAAATCAACAGAATTGTGTAATTAATAGTAAAAGTAATTAATATTGATGGTATATATAATTTAAATATTGTATTTATTACAAATGTTTTATCGTTTCTAATTTTAAATGCTGTGTACATGAATCAATTAATTTATTTTACCCTTCTATATCCTCACTTTATGTTACGTACTGTATGCATTTTGTTACGTAACTTCCTGTACTTCCAAAGAGGTAAACTTTATGTGCTGCAATTTCGTGAGCTGCAGTCACATGCTGGACCGCGTTTAGCGAACATGAATGATTTTCACTGTATTTCAGACAGAGGAAAATCATGCGAGATGAGTAAAAAGATTTCTACTTCAAAATAGCGGCGGAGGAATGTGCAGTTTATCTCTATTTTAAATTGTTGCGATCGTATTAGTTTATGGCGTGATAATCCACTAAAACAACTATAAATAATTCGTACTTCAGGTTCCTTCTAATCAAGGGCGAACAATGTTTATAAATATTTAGCTCCATGCGCTCCCAGAAAAGAGCCGGAAGTTGTAATGTTCTAATTCTCAAAAACTAACCGACTTGCACTATGTTTAGACATTTCAGTTTAATAATTCAGATACAATGTTTTTTACGAAGATAATTTTAGCAACATTATTGCTTTCGGCTGCTATTGCATTTGAACAGAAATGCTTTTTTCCTGAGCCAGCAAGGGATTTCGATGCTTACAAGGTAGGTTGGTAAAAACATTGTTTTCATATTTTAAATACCAGGCATCGGAGCTTTTCAATTTTATACTGCTACATGTCCCGTGTAGTTATTTTGATATATATCTTTCTGACGAATCATCGTTATCATAAAATGTGTTTAATATTTCGCTTGTCCTGGGTCCGCTAAACACGGTTTTTACTAATACGCATATTTCAATGACTTAGCTGCGCGGTACTACATGGTACACAGGACTGCAAACGAATGATGCTGTAGCGGCTAATATAAAATGCGAACGAGCAGGAAATTTTACAGAAACTTCCACTGGTTTTCAGACTGACTTTAGAACTTTCAAAAAAAGGTATTGTATATGTCACTCCGCGAAATTGAAATAATTTTACTATAATTACCTACAAATGCATTTCTAAGACTACTCTTACAGAACAAGTGAAGTATTGTCACATTTGTATCAAAATTTGTTAACGTAAGTTATTTGGAGAAATCAGCATGTACAGCGGTAGCAAAAATATATTAGTTCGAAGAACCAGATTATGCGTTAGTCAACAGTTCGTAAATTTTGTGGGGCCTTTACAAAATATAAAATATGTCGATCACGATATCAAATCTAAACTGCTCCAAATATATCACTTTTTAGACTAGAGATTTCGACTAAGAATTTATTATTCAAATCCATACATGTTACACAATCCATTTAGATATATATTTACAGTAATAATCAATTCTACCAGTTTCAGCACCAACTGTATCCAATCATTGTTCACAACTTCAGGTATGTCAATCCACACCTCTTACCGCCGTCCAAAATTAGTCGAACATCCTCGATACATCGAGTATGATTCGAATCCAAGTAAATGCGGAGTACGTGAATATGTCTGCAGTTTCAACAACGCTGAATTGAGCAAATTAGGAAAGACTCATAAAATATTTAGTGACCACCAGTATCTCAATCAATTTCTTTATTTTACGATGATGTTTTGTTTTTAAGCAACGAACACATCGATTGGGTTGCCCATTTCACTTTTCTACGATCCGCGGTGTATCAGGAAAGCAAAGTTAAAGATGGTAAGCAAAAGTTAAAATGTTGAACTTTCCAGTTACAATCTGTTTTAGCTTTTATTTTATCCCCAAAACAGACGCTATAATTGATAATTAGAAAAATAAAACATTTATATTATATATATTTATATATATGCCATTAATTTACGCATATCACGGCAAAATACTGTCGATCAACATGTTAGTTGGTGAACTGTAATACTTCCAACAGTTCCCTTCAAACCCCCTCTTCGCCCATCTCAATAAAATCAGCCCCAATACTAAAACGCAATCTATATTTATTTGTATTATATGATCCTCCAGATTTTTCGATGACCTACAGTTTGACGAAAACGGAAAGTACAGCGCTGCCACAGCATTGGTTTGTGTTGATTGATCTATTTATAATGTTAATGTATATATGTTTTTCATTGTCATACTGTGTAAACCAATACTCAACATAAAAACAGTAACATAGGCATTTGCTATATCGTTGCATAAATTTATTGGACAATATGTTATTTTCATCATAAGTTCGAAAGGAAAGCGACAATAAATCTAGCAACTAAAATGCTTGGTGTTAGATGAGTTTTTGTCTCTCTCGTCGTGGTTTTCGTTAAAGAAACACTCGAGATAATCCAGATTGTTATGTATATATTTCATACATTCGCCAAGAACTTAATCTTTTTTTAACCTCGGTGAATGCGTGTAAAATGTTCATTTTATTTATTCTGCACAGTCGAGAATGTTCTTCTGGAACGAGATTTTGCATTTATATCTGATTATCTGAACTACTGTATGGGAATTCTATGTTCGGCAGAAGGTAAGAAATCGCAAATGCGATATAACTCATTATTACACAAGTTCTTTGGCTTATCGGTGACCGGAAGCGGAGACCTGTATGAAAGTGCCAACAGGGAGGGGGGGTAATAATTTTGATTGAATAAAAAACACAAAAAATTTTCATGACTTTCTTGAAACAGAAGCATTCTCTTATATTCAATACTGCTTGCATGGGTGTGCCAAAGTTTCATTGACACGTGACACAAAAACTACGATATTTTATTTATTTATCTTCATTCGTTTAGTTATAAGAAATTTTCGTTCTGTTGACAATATGAAACAGATTTTCATTGCAGCATGTTTTTAGGACAATGGATCGTTTGGATTTATTTTCAAACCAAGACTCCAAGTCTTTACAAATATTGCAGCTGCCTACAATGAACTGCAACGCTTGGGAGTATCAACACAACTCTATGCATCACAGTGCGAAAAGGCACATTGAATTATATAAAGATTCTGATCATGGAAGAAAAATTGATTTGAGTTGATTATTTTCGGCAGATGACCAAACACCTAAATATAAATAATAAATCGTTATAGCATATATCATACATTTATATACCATAATACCTGGAATGCGAATTTCAACGCAGTATTTTACTCTGAGCTTTACTTTACAATGGGTTTGCTATAAAACTCATTTTGATGAATAAATTGTCACGCATCAAGTATTATTCTTTTTACTGCTTTTCGCCACTGGTAGTCCAATGTTTATCCCATTGTCGAGAGTTCGACCATTGATGACTTGACAATGGATAGAAAACCCATTGTTGTCGCCACAGACGTTCCACGTTTGAATGTCCTTCTGTAAAATCATATTAGATAGATAGATAGATAGTTTATTTCGAAAACTCCATAACAAACCTAAATTTAAAATGGAGAATTCTGGAGGGCAAGCAAAACCTGCAAAAAAGTTTAAAACATGAAGTATCTCATGTGCCTGCCCACCAGCACGCACACAAAAACACAAGCCCAATTAAATGAAGCTTGGGCCAAACTTAAAAACAAAATACACGATAGTAATAAACTTTCGGGCTGTTGTACTCTCTTTCAACAATTACGTTGATAATGACCAATACCTACAACCTCATGCAAAGATAATGTGGGGAGTGGAATGTAATAAATTTGCGACGATAGTCATACTCATGAAGCCATGAAAGCTTTGGGAAAAACCAAGCCACGAAAAACTACACTGATTGCTAGATTGGGCATTGCGGAAAAGGTGATAAGTGGTTTCATATACAAACAAACGCAAAACCATGGCGGCAAATTCGGTGTGCGGACACTCATAAAAGCAATTATTAGGAAAAACACTAATCACACGTGAGCAGGTCTGTAGCCTAATTGATACATTGACGTGGCCAACATTGTTAAAACAGTACCGGTATACACACAGAGAGAACAAATCAAAAATATGCCACTAAATGAATGTTTAAAAATGTTACACTGCAAACTATTTACACATATATAGTTGAATACTCAGTATTCAAGCGGAATTTCTAGAAATAGCAGTATATCATACTCTTTGTCACAAAATAAAATATCTGAATCAATCCCTGTTGTATTCATCTTTCGATTCTGTTATGATGTCCGTATGTTGTCTTTATGCTGCCATGTAATTTCATATTTCGGCCTTTACTTGTTGATATTCCTTAAGTGCTGGTTCATTGTTGTCAATCTAATCTTTCTGCGCCGTTCAAAAATGCGACCGCACCCGACGACTGCCAAACACAAACTTTAAATCCAATCTTTTATCCATAAACTTCTTTAATTCCGGTGGATGGGCCTTGATCATGTTGATATCACGAGATACAAATCTAATAGTCTAATATTCTGGGGCGCTTAAACAATGCTCTTCTTATGGCGGAGCCGCGTGAAATTAAATCCTGAAATCTCGTAAAATGGGTCATTATACCGGGAAATTCAATGGTAAATATGTTTATACGGCTGTATTCATATACACTGTTGAAATAGAAATTATATGATGTATTCGAACAAATTTATATCTGGCCATAAGTGCGAACATGTAGGTGACATCGTATATTAAATCCAAAGTGGAATATGCGACCAGGGGGTGGTTTCTGATTAAATTTTGAATTTGTGGAAATGTCTGAATGGCGTGCGATTGCATTTTGTTATATTTGTCGATCTAATTCAGTGTGATCCGTAATGTTGGACTCCGAGCACCTTCACGTCGTTATTTATTCTCTCTCACTATGCCTGCGATATATCTTTTAGGGCAGGGGTGTGCAACCTTCATTGACAGGAGGCCAGATACAAGTTACTGGATAAAGCCGCGGGCCGCACCTACACTCTTAACAGAAAAAGAGGATATTTGCCATTTCCACCCCCTCCATTTGGGTGTGGTGATGAATTTTCCGTCTTATTTCGTTGCATAATTTTATATACACCGTGCTAATGCATTCACAGGGTGTGTTACCAAACATTTTCTCCACTAAACTTGGTGGAAATGCATGAACGCGTCATGTCACGTGATATCGAGGTGACTGTGACGATGTGAGAAGGCTGAACGCTATTGGCTGAAATCGTTTCGAATATTTTTATGCGCGGTGACTTGACTTATCACTCTGCCGAGGCTTCGATGAAACTCTGTGCATAACAGACTGTCTGCGGTAAACAACTCCAATTTTCAATAGATAGAATAAGTGGGTGGGCACAGTTTGTGTTGAACTTGTCTCAAGCTACAATATGTGGAAAACTTACATCGTGTGGAGAGGTCTGGAGGTTTAAGCTTGCTGGTACAGGTAAGATTTCGAATTATTAAGTTGATCCTGATAAACAAATGCGAAATTATAGTACCGGTGCGGTACCTTAATCTAGCCATAATTAAACAATCGATCAGTCAATCCACTACTACTATTACCCTACAGTGTTCATGTGGATTCAGATTGCGTTCAGCTAACGTTGCCAGTCAAGCAAACCAAAGCTTTGTTTGCTCCCGTCTTCAGTATTTATAATTACTTACCGGTACTCTTTTATATTGCTTTTACGAGACGAATAAACATACATACATACTATGTCAAGTGATCGGTACAGGTACTAGATAAGACTAGGCTATAGCCTATAACGGTAAATACAGAAATTTAACGTTATCAGTACCGGTAACTTATATCGTGAGTTGTAAATTCTGAACTTCGTACAAGTAACGTGAGCTACGGTATTCTATCTCAACTAGCCTAGATACCGGTAGCCTACTTTTGATTTGCCAAACTTCAGATCTTGTCAAGCTTTGTTCGCTAACGTTAAGTGACCAGTACTAGGCCTAGATAAGATGGGTGTCCTGAAGTACGCGCCGCATGTACCTACTTATAGTTGGCCTGTCTCGACAATTTTTGCATATCTAATTTCTAACCCCCACATGACTACGTCATCCGGAAATTACATCACTGCATCACCATCGCGTCATAGAGCTTTCTAAAGTATAGTTACGATCATCCGAAATGGCATCTGTGCAGCGATCTCTCTTTTATCGCTGTATCGATACGGTATCGTTTCGACGACAAGAAATGGGCTAGCTTGCTCAACTTCGGATGATTGTCTGTGCAACCATCCGTACCAGACTGGATTCCATGGCAGGTGCACGCCCGAGGGCGCTAGCGCTCCGCAGAAATGCACGCGAGCGAAATCAATTTTGCACGCCGAAAATTTGCAATTGCTCACCAATGTAAATCGGTTTAAATGGTTTTAAAATCAATAATCCAGTAATATAAAGATGCCAAAATATTATAACTCCACAATTGTCGACAAATACCAGCTTGCAAGATTTGGTCTGATCGAAATATTGCGAAGCAAAAAGACCATGGACCTTTCCCCAACCTTTGACCCGCGAAAAATTCCTCTCATTGTTACGTCCTTTTTTGCATCTTGCTGATTGGCCAATGTCATGAAATAAACAAGGAAGTCGATGCTCGGGGAAAGGTCCATATCGTGTTGAACGATAGGAAATAGGAATCCCGTGAGAATAGTTATGGACGAAAAGATCGCCTCCGCACCAATGGCCAAGTACGGCTCTGATTCAGCGTATTTTTCATACAATAATTTTACACGAATGTACTGAACAGTACCGGTATCTAAAGTTGCTCAAACACTCCCAAAATTAGTGACAAAGTATGAAAATAATGTTTGGGGTCAAAGGTCAAACGTTCATTTTGCTCTAATTTGACGTATTTTTTATCCATTAATTCTACGTAAAAACACTACCAAAATTAATGACAAAGTATGTCCATTTTGCTCTGGTTCAACGTATTTTTTATCCAATAATTTTACGCGGATGTACTGAACAGTATCGGTATCCAAAGTCGCACAAACACTCTCAAAATTAGCGACAAACTGTAGAAATAATGTTTGCGGTCAAAGGTCAAACGTCCATTTTTTCTCTGATTCAACGTATTTTTTATCCGATACCGGTAATTTTACGCGGATGTATTGAGAGGTATCTGATGTCAAAGTCAGTTGCACGCGAGTGCAGTTGTTTTGCACGTCGTGAGCTATAATTGCACGCCAGGAATTCTTATTTGCACGCGGGAATTTCTGATTGCACGCCCGATTTCTCGTTCAAAAAGGCCATGAAATCCAGACTGGCATATGACTGTATGGTACCGGTGGACCAGACTGGATTCCATGGCAGGTGCACGCCCGAGGGCGCTAGCGCTCCGCAGAAATGCACGCGAGCGAAATCAATTTTGCACGCCGAAAATTTGCAATTGCTCACCAATGTAAATCGGTTTAAATGGTTTTAAAATCAATAATCCAGTAATATAAAGATGCCAAAATATTATAACTCCACAATTGTCGACAAATACCAGCTTGCAAGATTTGGTCTGATCGAAATATTGCGAAGCAAAAAGACCATGGACCTTTCCCCAACCTTTGACCCGCGAAAAATTCCTCTCATTGTTACGTCCTTTTTTGCATCTTGCTGATTGGCCAATGTCATGAAATAAACAAGGAAGTCGATGCTCGGGGAAAGGTCCATATCGTGTTGAACGATAGGAAATAGGAATCCCGTGAGAATAGTTATGGACGAAAAGATCGCCTCCGCACCAATGGCCAAGAACGGCTCTGATTCAGCGTATTTTTTATACAATAATTTTACACGAATGTACTGAACAGTACCGGTATCTAAAGTTGCTCAAACACTCCCAAAATTAGTGACAAAGTATGAAAATAATGTTTGGGGTCAAAGGTCAAACGTCCATTTTGCTCTAATTTGACGTATTTTTTATCCATTAATTCTACGTAAAAACACTACCAAAATTAATGACAAAGTATGTCCATTTTGCTCTGGTTCAACGTATTTTTTATCCAATAATTTTACGCGGATGTACTGAACAGTACCGGTATCCAAAGTCGCACAGACACTCTCAAAATTAGCGACAAACTGTAGAAATAATGTTTGGGGTCAAAGGTCAAACGTCCATTTTTTCTCTGATTCAACGTATTTTTTATCCGATACCGGTAATTTTACACCAAAGTTACCCTAGCAGACATCTCTCAGCGGACATCTCTCTCGTTTTCGTAACGGTAAAATAGCGTTGCCAGAAAACGATTTAACATGGCACTTAAATGCCGCATCGAAAAAAGGAAAGCTAGTCGCAAAGTACTTGCCAGATTTACGGCGAAATTTTGCTACACTCGGAATTACACGAAACTTATCTGTAATTTCCGATGGCCGGGCAGATTTTTGAAGATGATATAAAAAAAGAACTTATATTGAAGTCATCCTAATTCAAGTTTTATGAAATTTATATGTTGGGAACATATAATATTACATTGTCAAACATGGCCAAAAAGAAATTTCACATTAAAATTATTAAATGTCGGCATTTTAGCCCCAAATTCTGTACTTTTCGATTAGGTGCCCCACTTTTAGATAAGATATCTCAAAAAAACATTGAGAGGTATCTGATGTCGAAGTCAGTTGCACGCGAGTGCAGTTGTTTTGCACGTCGTGAGTTATAATTGCACGCCAGGAATTCCTATTTGCACGCGGGAATTTCTGATTGCACGCCCGATTTCTCGTTCAAAAAGGCCATGAAATCCAGACTGGCATCCGTATACTTTTGAGGGCCGTATTACGTCATTGCGACTTCTCAGTGATGTGATTTTTGGATGACGTGGTCATGTCTGCATGTGGGGGTTAGAAATTACATATGTAAATATTGTTGAGCCAGGCCAACTAGAAGTACTTGCGGCGCATACTTCAGGAGACCAGATAGGACTATATAAATACAGAAATATATCGTTATCAGTAACTTATATTGCAAGTCTAACTTCTGAACTTCGTACCAGTAACGGGAGCTATCTCAACTAATCTTGATTTGCCATACTCGCCAAAAGGATTCTGTACAGGCTATTGCTGTATTGGGCTTATTTATCTGTTTATTACATGTTTGGTGAGTCGAGCGGAAACAATTTATTTTTCTTTTGTGCTTAACTTGGAATTACATAATTTCAACAGCTATCATACATTTTGTTAGTAGCCTACTGAGCACATAACTTTCTATTCAGGATGTTGATTTTCTTGAAAATGAAGATGATCACTGTATTGGGACTTACAAGTAGATAATAGCAGAGGAACTAAATGAGAGAAATATAGCAGATGAGCAGTGCTGCAGTGAACAACTCATAGGTGAGTCTTGTTATTTTATGCAATAAGAATATCGCCGGATGAGAACAGAACAGGCCTAAGTCACAATTTCGAGTTTTGAGTAAAATGCGAAAAACAATTTGTAATTTTTTTATTTTCGAATTTGTAAATATTCACACTTAGTAAATACCTGAGCTCTGGTTATTCAAGTGTGGATGAGAATATCTTTGTAATCGATATTTTTTGCCACTTAACTTCAATTCCTTCCAGCTTTTTTACCCCCATGAAGGATTTTTGGCCCATTCTGTTCTCAATAACTTCTGAATTTTTTGTATGGGATGCAAAGTAAAACAAGGTGACTTAGGCCTAAGTTGCACTGAATAATTTTTTAGGGATGTAAGTTTCGGACATTTCATTTCTGATGTTCATGCTCATCATACTGGAACTTAGGACTCTTTTTTTTTCAATATTTTGGGTTTCTGACTTCTGAGCATTGGGGTTTTGAGCCATGCTCTACATTCTACAAGGTGGTGGTCTTGAAATCCTGAATTTCTCAATAATAAAAATTTAAGCTGGACTTAGGCCCATTCTGTTCTTAACTTCTACAAAATATTATAGTCCTATCCTAGGTCCAGCTGAAATTTTTATTATTCAGAAATTCAGGATTTCAAGACCATCCACTGTGTAGAGCATGGCTCAAAACCCCAAAATATTGAAAAAAGATGAATTTTCCAAAAATGTGACTTAGGCCCCTTCTGTTCTCATCCTGCGATATGCAAGTCTAATAATGGTACATGTTTTTAAATCTAGTGCGTTGTATTTGGGTGTAAATTACAGTGCGAAAATGAATAAAATAATGTTACCATTACAAATATATTGTTGAAAATAACTTTCTATTCAGGATGTTGATTTTCTTGAAAATGAAGATGATCACAGTATTGGAACTCACAAGTAGCTAATAGCAGAGAAACCAAATGGGAGAAATATAGCAGATGAGCAGTGAACAACTGATAGGTTGGTACATGTTTTTAAATCTAGTGCGTTGTATTTGGGTGTAAAATACAGTGTTGAGAATGAATGAAATAATGTCACCATTACAAACATATTGTTGAAATTTTTGACTCTATTTAGCCTATATGTAGATGTATGATGATATCACTCTATGCTTTAAAATCATGAAGAGTTAGAATCAATACTTATTACTTATGTCTAGCCCTAGTGGATTGGGATATAACTTAGTTTAGTGAAATTCGTCTATTTCAATATGACCTTGGTAAGAAGAAAAACTGAAAAAATAGCTAGTCTGTGTTGTTCAGCACTTATAAATTACTATCATAAATTACTTGTCCAGTACAAGGACTCCAATTCAGTTGGAAACATTTTTATTGAATATGTTCGAAGGTAACATGCGACCGTTTTTCTACTGCAAAAGTCATACTCATCTAATCTCTTTTTTTGTATTTTTAGATTGTAAGTCCAATCCAATGATGAACTCTGGATCATCACTAGATCACAGTTCGAATGGAAGCTTTAATTACACAAAAGCAATGGCAGTGGCCAGTGATGGACTCTTTGTTACAGGATTTTCAATCTACAAATACCATTAGGTAGCAGAAAAGCTTGACATTCATCACAACATGCCTACTGCTCCTGCCAAATGAAGAATTCCCATTCAAAAAACAAAAAAGGCGTAACTTGACTTTCTCATTACGACTGTATTTATTTGCGACCTTTAGTAGTCAATTTCGCCGAATATTTACTGTTTTAATAAATTGTTTAAATCTTGAAAACCTGTCGTGGTTTCATGCTTCCTTTGGGTGGTTATAGTACGTTTCCAGGCTTGCAAGAAGGTTGATCTTCCTACCGATTTGGGTGGGGTTGTTAGGGTGGAAATGTCAAACACCTACCCAAAGGGTGGAAGGAGTAGAAAACCTTGTGAACCAAATATTTCGTTGGGAATTACCACTTTTTTCATTTAGAGTGTAGAAACTCGACCTATGAAAGGCTCTGGGTACAAAATATCAACTTACGAAAATTCTTCTAGTGATATTGCTTCGGCTAACATAATATTTTCTACATACGAAAGATCGGAAACCTTCAAAACGCGTGCGGTGATATTTGTTTAATTTTTTAACGTTTTGCTTAAAACATTGCAGCCCTGTGAGACGCGGCAAAAAATTATCTGACACGTTTGTTTCCCGCGGGTTTATACAACGTGTTGCTAGCGAGATTCGGTGAGAAGACGATGATGCGATAAAAAAATAAATATAAAATTTTGAATTTCATGTATGTGTGCTTACATGCTTTTAATTTTAATTGAATTAAGTGAGACATGCGTTTTTATAACATTGTGCATTTCGTAGCAGGATTTTGCTACCATGTTTTAGTAATATGACAGCGGCACTCAGTTATTAGTATAGACCTGGTAAAAGAGAGAGAGATTGCTCGCACGCACCAAATTAAATGATCTGAAAACTCGTTTCGTGGGAACACCATTAAAAGTTGGCGCTTCCCCGCGAGCCATACAAATTTTCTTATCGAGCCACAGTTTGCACAGCCCTGTTTTAAGGCATTCTGAAACTATCGTCGGGGCCACATGCAACTTTTACTCTGGGTATTATGAAATATAAGATAAAAAATGCAATGCATATTTAGTCAATTTTAAATGTACTAAATAAATCGTAGTTTTTTGATATTTTATTCCAGACTTAGAGATTTTTCTAGCGTTGAGAAATAAAAAAAAATAATAGGAGTTGCAGAGCGGAGTCAGTGTTGTGAGAACATATCGGATTTGTAGAATTCGCAACATCGCGAAAATACGAATCACAACTAGCGATAAATACTGTCTAATGAGACAGTATTCCATTTTTTGGTATTGCCTTGATATTTTATATTGATGCTCTTAATTTTGACGTAAGTGAAAAGATCCGACTATTTTTACGAGTGGCGTGATTCGGCGAATGTTTCAGGACCAATTACATGGAAATTTCCAAATTCTGATCTCCAGATCGCTTTTAAAATCTTGGCTGTGCCACTGAAAATGTGTATTGTAACGTGAGTCTAATCGACCCCTATTTATGACATTTTTTGGCGGGATAATATGCTATATTTAGGTTAACCATGCTTAAGATAAGTATTTCGCCAGCCTTCATAAACGTATATTATGGGGGAATCCATCCTCTGAGAATCATTCGATTTTTACGATCACCTATTTTTATCAAGATCCTCATTAGCTAAATCATTGAGCTGAAGTTACAAACGTTCTATTACTACCAAATATCCCACGTATCGTGCTTCAACACATTAGATTTTTACAAAGTATGGTTGTCACGTCACCCATAAATTCCCATGCATTCGCCTACAAGAAATGCGTCGGAGCAGAAGATCAGTCAAGCGTTTACTATCTGCAGCATAACAATGGTAAGACAATGGTCATTTTGATCCATTGTGAAGGTTTCAATGGTTCGACTACCTAAAGCTACAAAGTAGGATGTACACTAAAATTGTTGTGCTACATCGACTGTGATATTAGTTGCTGTTTCGCGACAAAATTACACATTCAGTGAAAAACTATAAAAAAAAATATCAGAGGTTCAACACAAGTGTATTAATTCTGTTTCAACATCATTAAAATTTGGGCAAACGAACAAATAGTATATTCAGTGAAATGAATTGCAAGAAAGTTGATCGTTTAAATTCTTTCATCACAATTATCAAATATTTACGAATTTTACTACAAAATCCTTCATTTTTAATGTGGATAATAAATCGAATCACTTTATATAATGGATAGTTTTAAGGAACAAGATTTTGAGTCACAGTCACTTTGTAGTTAGGCAAACCGCTGTTTTAGTACGAATTACCTATTCATGAAAGCATTGTAATAAAGAAACTAGCGATACTTCATCATTTCTAAAACGTATTTTCAAGATCTCGACATTACAACAACTTTTATTGAAAGATTATATTTTGACACTGACGTAGAACACTACAAACCTTCATTCACTTCAATAGCAAATTTAGATAACACATACATTAGGTGTCGTTTATATTTATAATTGGACTGGTTCACTTTTCACAGATAGAAAAATGCACACATTGACATAATTTATGCGATAAAAAAGAAATCCATCGATACTGCATACAATCATCCTTGCACGAAGATATAACGGAGTCACGCTCCGTGTTCCTATTTGATCAATCCACCATACAAACAGTAATTAATATTGGTAAAAAAGATTTTAAAACCGTTTTCAAAACATATTCTATATTGGCAAATTGTTTGTTTTTGCAATAATGCATGCATTAGTGAATAGGAATATAAATATATATATATATATCACATTTCTTCCATAGTTGGTTTCCCAAAGGGAGCGACCCTAAAATTAACAGAATTGTGTTAAATAACTTGAAAATTTTACATATTGTATTTATTCTAAATGTTTTTTGTTTTCCATTTTAAATATCAATGAATCATTGATTTCCTTTTATTTTTCTATGTCCTTCACCTCCTGTTACGTAGTGTTTGCATCTTTCGTTATGCAACTTCCTTTACTAACAAAGAGGTAAAAATTACGTGCTGCAGTTTCGTGAGCTGCAGTTTATTTATATGCTGGACGGAGATTAGCGAAATGAATAACTTTCACAGTGTTGCAGAGGTAAATCATGCGAAGGTGAGCAAGAATGCTTCTATTTCGAAATAGCGGCGAAGGAATGTGGAATTTATCTATATTTTTAGTTGTTGCAATCGTATTTAGTTTATTGCGTGATAATCCGCTGAAACAACCATAAAATAATTCGCACTTCATTCCTCCTAATGAAGGGCGAACAGTGTTTATAAGTTTTTAGCTTCAAACGCTCCCACATGTTCTAATTTTCGAAACATAACCGACTTTCATTATATTTAGACGTTTCAGTTTAATAATTCAGATACGATGCTTTTCACGAAAATATTTTTAGCAACACTATCGCTTTCGGCTGCTATTGCATTTGATCAAAAATGCTTTTTCCCTGAGCCTGCAAAGGATTTCGATGTTTCTAAGGTAGGTCGGTAAAAACATTATTTTCAATTCATTGGAGCTTTTTTAAAATTTATATTGCCTCTGTCCTGTGCATCCGTTTCGATAGTATATTTCGATATGTATATATCGATATGTATATTTCTGACGATCATCGTGATCACAAGGTCTCTCAAATACATCGCTTGATATACCCGCTAAGGTTGCTCTCAACCGTTTTCACTGATACGTATATTCCAATAACTTAGCTGCGCGGTTATACATGGTACACAGGACTACATACGAATGATACTGCAACGTCTGGTATGAAATGCGAACGAGCAAGAAATTTTACGGAAACTTCCAACGGTTTTCAGATTGACCTAAGAACTTTCAAAAAAAGGTATCGTATACGCTTACAATACAAAATCGAAATTAATTTACTAGCAATAATTACCTAAGACCACTCTTAACAGAACAAGTGAAGTATTGTCACATTTGGATTAAACTCTGTTAACGTATGTGGTTAGAGAAGTGAGCATGCTAAATTGGAATTGGCGATTGCAAAAATATATTAGTTCAAAAAGCCACAGTATGCTATGCGTTGGTTAACAGTTTGCAAATTTTGTAGCGTATTTACAAAATATCTTTACTAAATGTTGTCAATCATCAAATCAAATCTAAATTGCTCCAAATATATTACTTTGTAGACTAGAGGTTACGTCAAAGAATTTACAATGTTTACAGTTATAATCGATTCTACCAGTTTTAACACTAATTATTTTTTAGCATTGTTAACAACGACAAACAGTCGGCAAACTGTGGCCCCTAAACAAATTTTTTGCCGCCCTCGAACGTCCCGGCTTATATTGCATAAAAATATTGATTATAAATTTATTATTTTATCGACACCGATGTAAGTGGTGCTGCTGCTGTAAAGCACTGTATATGATTTCAATCAATTTCTTTATTTACGGTGATGTTTGGTTTTTCAGCAACAACCACGTCGATTGGGTTTCCCATTTCACTTTTATACGGCACGGGGTGTATCGGGAGAGCAAGCTTAAAGATGGTGAGCAAAAGTTTAAATTTTAGCTTTCTAGTTACAATATTTTTTTTTATTTTTTATCACAACAACAACGCTATAATTAATAAGAATATCAAGAGAGCAATGCTCAAATATATGAATACGTAGACCTGAGCGAAGTAGTAGTCCGCCTTGCCTTTGACGGTACTGGTACCCTCAAAAAATTTCCGAATTTTCGCGTAGCAAGAATTATCTGAATCAAAACGGACAGCCAATGTTCCCAGGGATAAAAATAATACATCGAAATTTTGAACGAAATATCAGATTTTATAGAATTCATACGAAATTTAAAAATAAATAAAAGTAATAGCTTTCTAGAGAAAAATTCCATTTTCCACCACTAAAAATTTCAAAGCAATTGGTCTAGTAATCAACGAGAAAAAAGACGTGTCCAATAATTTGAAACACTACCTTAAACAAACATTAATATCCATATATTTCAACATATAGGCCATTAATATACATATATCACGATGAGACACTGCCGAACAGCGTATCGGTTGGTTTGGGAACTGTAATACCTCCAATAGTCAACACTGTCGCCCATCGCCATAAGTTTGGCCCCAGTACGAAAATACAAGCGTAATCTGTACTTGTTTCTATTTTATGATCTACCAGATTCTTCGATAACTAATGCTTACACTGTTGACGGAGACGGAAATTACAACACCGCTGCCGACAACATTGGTTTGTGATAATTAATCTAATTATACTGTGTATATATGTTCTATTGTCATGCTGTGTAAACTCTAATACTCAACACAGAAATAGTCACATATGCATTTTTCATATTGTTGCATAAATTTATTGGTCAATAGGTTATCTTTATTAGTTCGAAAAGAAAGAAGCAATAAATCTAGCAACTAATTAATGCTTGGTTTGAAATGAGTTTTTGTCACTCTCGTCGTGGTTTTGATTAAAGAAAAACTCGAGATAATTTTAATTTATTTTTACATATATTTATAATACATTGCATATATATTCTACTTCGCCCAGAGCTTAAACTCTTTTAATTCCGGTTGAATGCGTTTAAAATTTTCCTTTTCATTTATTCTGAACAGTCAAGAGTGTTCTTCTGGAACGAGATTATGCATTTATTTCTGATTATCTTAACTACTGGATGGTAATTATATGTTCGGCAGAAGGTAAGATTTTGCAAATGCGATATAACTCATTATTGAATATGTTCTGTGGCTCATCGGTGATTGGGTCATCTGTATGAAAGCGCCTACATGCTTGAATGAGAAATATACTTAAATTTAGTCGAATAGAAAAACAGCTATTTTGTGATTTATATAAATATATATAGACAGAAGCACCCTCTTGAATTTAATAATTCTTGCAACGATGTACTAAAGTTTTATTGACAGGCGATTCGAAAACTACGCTATTTGCGCTTGTTTATCTTCATTAATTTAAATGTGAGAAATTTTCGTTCTGTTGACAATATGAAACAGATTTTCATTGCAGTATATTTTAGGACAATGGGATGTTTGGATTTATTTCCCAACCAAGACTCCAAATCTTTCAAATATCGCAGCCGCGTTTAATGAAGTGCAACGCATGGGAATATCAACACAACTCCATGCATCACAGTGTGAAAAGGCAGATTGAATAATATAAATAACCTGATGATGGAAGAGAAGTGGATTTGAGTTGATTATTTTCGCCAGCTAACCAAAATACTTAATAAATAAGAACATCAATAAATCGTTATAGCGGAGTATGTTAAAAATAATTTTGGACAGGGTAAGAGATTGATTGATTTGTCTGAAGTTGTGAATAATAGGTGTTGAAACTGGTAGTAACGAACAAAATTGCAAATACCGGTCAAAATTGGTTCCGTGATAGGTACAGCCTTATGAATATGAATAATAAATGCTTAGTCAAAACGTCTAGTCCATAAAGAAATATATTTGAAGCAGCTTAGATTTGATTTTGTATTTGACAACATTTAAAAAAGATGTTTTGTAAAGGCTCCACAAAATATGCAAACTGTTGACTAAGGCATACTGTGGCTCTTCGAAATAATATATTTTTGCCATCGCTGTTTTCAAACTAAAATCAGCACTCCCAATTCATACGTTAACAGAGTTTAATGTAAATGTGACAATACTTCACTTGTATACATATATTTCTTTTTGTTATGCTAAATCAAGCATTTCGTAAAAATGCATTTTGTAACATCAGAATCTCTTTCGCTTTCAACTTCATGAAGTTTCATTTTAAATTCAATTTAATTTTTTTTTACCATACACCGGTATATTGAATCACGAATTATCAGGATATTTGCGCCATTATTGCTATTACATCTCAATAACTGACTTATGTTTCACTTTATGATATATCTTGACGATACAAAATATTTTCCTTTCGTGCTATGGAATCAGACATCACTATACTTGCTCTAGCACATCTACAAAATTATCCAAAATGCATTTGAAATTCGCGATGTGGCGCACAGTATACACGATGGAAATATAAGCATATTTTTTTGTTACATTGCCATTATTTTCTAATTGTCCCAACATCTCGAAGATTTGCAGTAAAAAAAACTGTATTGCGTTGATTTTTGCATTCCAATTTTAATGGAAGTGGTTAGATTTTGCAGGTATTTTGATAACACTCAGTAACGTCTCGAGTATTTTATTAAAGAATCGTCAAGTTTGTCTTGACCGTGGAAGAGCCAAAATACTGCATTGCTCTCTGTAAAGCATGGGGTCAGTTTGTATTCTTCAGTACTGTGTTCTTAAGACGAGACATGGAATGAATATACTTCATATATTTATAAAAAAAAAAAAATCTTTGCTTTTGGCGATTAGCTATAGAAAGAATGGAGAATTAGAACACAAAAATCCTAATATTTAATAATTTTAATCATATGGAATAGCGAGCGAATTATAAAATCCAATTCAATGTTATGATTTTTGCAAATGTTTACTTTATTTGTACAATTTTTCTGATATTAGATGAGAGTAATTTTTTTCGGAAAGAGTAAAAGGCGATAACTCATGATAGTTCTTTTCAAAAAAAATGTGACAAAATACAAAATTTATAATAATTTTCATCCCACTCGTATCATTTAATAGACATTGACAATACATCAAAAATATTCAATGGAAATATATGAGTGAAATTGTAGTTAATTCGAAATAAGTGATGTGAAATGTTACAAAAAATCATGTTTCACTTCTAACTAAAATTTGAATGTATATGAAAATTGCATTGTTTTGCAAATATTGATTCGTTGAACATTTCTTTTTAACTTTTGTAAGCTGAATTTTAATTAATTGACTCTGGTATAGCATTGATTATTTCTGATCAAAATACTGTCTTTTCTCTCTTATAATGTATGAACATGAATAAAATTAAAATTATTAACCCCATGGACGTTTTATTGCACTGCATGAACAAATACATTTTAGAGTAAATTTATTACAAACAATTTTCAATTAGGTAGGTTAATGAAGCGCATTGAAGAGCAATGATCAGTGTATTTTCTTCAAAACATAATATCAAGAAACAACTTGAGCACAAGTCATCAGTTGCGGCACGAATACCTATACTAATAAGAAGAGCTTGAGAGCATTTAAAGCGCTTCCATGAATACTCTATGCCAGTGGTTCCCGACCGCGGGCCGCTGACCGCTGTCGGTCCGCGAAAAATTTCATTGTTTTCATGCCGTCTCAATTGCTTTATCGAAGACGGAGATTGCGTTGGTTTATTACGCAATTTCTCTTCTGTCGTCATAGTGCGACGTCTTTCGCGATATCTTGGCGCCGAGTAATCACACTTTTCGCTTTCCGGCTCCGATTCACCGCGAATGCGCTCCATCAAATCTCGCAAGATTTAGAAACGGCACGCGTGCTTTCTCTGTGCTGCGTGCTTTTCCTGATTAATATGACCATCCATTTAAAACTTTATGCATATTTCTTTTTTAAACCAGGGGTGTGCAAAGTGCGGCCCGCGGGCCAAATGCGGCCCGCAAGGGAAAATTGTGCGCCCGCGGAGGCAACTGAATGGCAGTTTGAAAAATTTTAGTAATAAAAGATAAAAAAGGTAAATGAGTTTTGGTTCCAGCCTATCAGTTGATGTTGTCCAAATCGAACCTAGAATAAGATTTTACAGCAATTTATTTGGAAATGAAACTTGGCGCATTTTACTGAAAACTTCTCAATCAAGTTACTTCCCACATTTGAAAAAGTCATGGCTTCAAATATGGCACTTTTCGGTAATATATTTTTGTTCTAAAATGGGCATCGCATCGAATTGGTAGCACTTTCATTTAAGCAAATTTGGATAAAAGTAGTCGGGCAAAGAATCCAGCAGAAAATTTCTCACTGAATTCGTTTAAATTGGGTGCAACAATATATATCTTTAAATTACAGTTCTAAGAACTTAATGCGTTTTAACTCATCATTTCTGTAAGGACCATGAGATCAATAACAAAAAGACACCATTTTGTGCCTGCAACTAATAGAAAGCCTGTGTGAAATGTAGGTGCGGCCCGGGGTTTAACCCGGTTATTGATATTTGGCCCGCCTGCGAAAAAGGTTGCACACCCCTGGTTTAAACCAGAAAACATTCAAGAACAGTATACTATTACAGTAAGATATGAACTAGTTGCGACCCAGCAGGTGGCCACGAGACGCGCAAAAAAACATGGGCCGCAGAGATCTTTTTTAGTATTTTGAGCAGACACAGCGGGCTATTGAGCTTGGTGCCAAGTTACTGACAACTTTGTCATTCTAATGTAAATTCATATTGTTTGAGGCGTCGATCAACTGCAGGGGGGTTAATATGATGAACCCGATGAAAAAGAGAAAAGCTTGATTAAAATTGTGATTCTACTTTATAGTCCACATTTAAAAAAAGTATCACTGTCGCAATTTTGGACATCTTTTGATAACGAATTCCCATCGCTAAGTAATCGAGCATTTAAGCTGTTGTCCGTATTTTCAACCAGTTACTGCGTTATGCGAAAAAACATTTTTCTCACTAGCTTTAATCAAAACGGAGCAAATAAATCTGCCGTACGCCGCTCAGAGCTCCGGGTTGCAGAAACTTCTTTGAGGCCTCGTCTGCAATCCTATAATGGAAACGAAACAGCAGCGAAATCCTCACTTGTGTTTGTACATGATTTGGCATGCACATGTTTTTTATGAGATATGTTTTGTGCGTGGCTTTCTTACTCATAATTGGTGCCCAGCACTGCATTTCATTACGCAAAGATATGGTATTATTTTATGTTTCACCCATTTCAATTTTTGGCCGGCACATTATTTGATAGTTTTTCTTCTTGTGAAAAGTTTTTAATTGTGCCATTTTTATCCAGAAGCATATTGAGTGCCCGATATTGCATTGTATTACGCAAATATATGTTATTCTTTTCTGCTCCGTTCATTTCAATTTTTTGCCCTCCGCGAGTAAATTTAATTTAATTTTACCGGTCCGCGAGGATAGAAAGGGAACCGCTGCGCTATGCGACTTATGAATTACTTCTGAATTCTGGAGATGCGCAGCTTGATTTGACGTTCAAAATCGATTCCTAAGATATTTCGTATCTCTAATTATTTAATATATTTTTAACCCGAAGTGAGAATATCGATGTCAATAAACGAATAAAAACAATTCTAATTTTGCTACCATGATGTTATCGATTAATCGATCGTTATACTATTGAAAAGTATTTCTGAGATGAAGATATCTGATGTTCGTATAGATAGTTTCATAAAAGTATAATATTGTATATAATTTGAATTCGAGTATCGTTTTTCTGACCTCGGCGGCCTCAATCAAATGCAAACAAATGCAGTTAACTATGCTTCGTACGAGTTCAATTTTCATTTTAGCATTTGCAGACATGGATAAAAGAAAGTTATTGGCTTTAGCAGTAGTATTAATAATAATTGCTATTGTTGTAATATTGATTGAGACATTGACAACTGGTGATAGTAACGGTGTTGAAACGAGCGAAGTCACAACTATCACAAACACCACAAAATCGACTACGAACACGACTAATCCGCCGCCGCCACCAGTCACAACTACAAAAAGTAATGTATAATACTTTGTCCGTAGCCATATATTTTTCAAGAGTCTTTACGATTATAAATCCACTTATCATTCAACATCAATCCAAATACATAAACAAAGATGAGATCCCACAGCATCTTTTATATAAGCAAATATTAATACATTTTTGTAACTTCCTCTGATACCAATGGGTTTCTTATAAACATTTTATAGAATTATTAGTACATATTATAAGATGATATGAGCGCGAAATAATTTATAAGCGTGAGCGTAATCAATAACAAACAAAGATGAGAGCATCAGAGGATTAAGCAAAATCTACACTTTTTACAAAATATGGGATCGGTTGACCGATGATCATGCTCATGCTGCCAATGCACATGCTTTTGTATAAATTAGTATATAATAAAACTATAATTTAGTCCAACAATGAACTTAAATTTTACTAATTTTCACAGGCGAAATAATAATGATTTTGAGAAGACCAATAAATTTTTTTTAAACAGATATACTATTCAAATCATTTTATTCATGTTACATAATTGATATATTTGAATATACTGATATCTTTTGATATTTATGTTACCTAAAAATGTATTTGTTATTTCAGGCCTTGAGGAAGTTTGGCATAACTTTTCAACTGGATCGTACAAGTTGTTTTTGACAAATATTAATTTTGAAGCAGCAAAGAAAAGTTGCAGGGATGTAAATGCAAGATTGGTAACTGAGGGAATAAGAAATGAAGTCACCCGCAAGTGAGTTCATGTAATGAAACTAATTGCAAATGACTTTTATAGTTTTATTCATTTGCTTATGATCATATATACCAGAGGTGGACAACATGTCGATCGCGATCGACCGTTTGATCGCTACGTATCGAGTAGTCGATCGCGTCTGATGTTGAGTGAACTTATATGATATGATACCTAAAAAAAATGCCCTGAACCAGTTCCATGTAGCTCACAGTTGTGTGTTTTAAAATAGGAGTGATACAGTACTGTGCATTAAAAAATACAACATATGCCTATAGTATTTGGAGCTCGGCAAGACCGACAGAGCATTTTATTACGTAACAAACGCAAGTTTCGCCGCTGCCAAGGTTTAGAAATGAACTTGTCGGATATCGTGTGTCTTGACCAACGGTCTTGACTGACTAGCGATCTTACAATTACTCCTGCATATAATAAACTTATTGTCTCGCTCCAACAGTAGTGTGATGACTTATATTCGCAACGATAGCAATGGCATCAGAATGTCAAATTTTTGTCAAATTCAAGCGAGCGAAGAATCGGACTCGGAGGAAATTGTAAATTAGATACTGAAGTTTGAGCAGTCATGTCACATTTCTGGTTTGGGAATATTTATTTTTTGCTGTTTAGATAAAACATGGATAATTCGCAACAACATTCAAGACAAAAGTTAGGCAGGTGTTATCTGAATTTTATGATTTGAATAAACCTTAAATAAATGATGAAACATTCACCCCGGTCACAATTACATAATCAAATTATTGAAACATAAAAAATGCAAATTTTTGTGGCGATTTTATTAAGAATGCGATCTTATTGGCAGTGGCGGAATATTTTGTATACGTGTGTGCAGTTATCTGCATATTCAGTACTCGTTCGTTTTTGTGTATGACCTTATTACCGATCAGTCGATCGCGAGCTTTTTTGACGTTTTCAGTCGATCGCGGTCGAAAGCAGGCTGGCCATCCCTGATATATACCAACGGTGGGCAAACCGCGGCTCGCGAGCTGGGCGAACCGCATGCGGCTCTTCTCGCTATCATTAATTACTATCCAAATTTAACTAGGAGAAACTGTAGCGTAACAGTACTTTTTTTAAATTTATTAAGCGGTCGAAGAATTTTCCATCAAAGATTAAGACAGAATATGTTTTAGTATGAAAATCGTTGTGGCGTGGAATCTTAAATCAGTCAAGCGACCAATGTTACGTCACAATAGTGTATGTTGCTGAGTTGGCGGCATTGCAATTTGAGTGCGGTTAGTCTCACTTGCGGATATGTCAAGTAAAGAGGAAATATTCGAAGATGAAAACAGAGTTGTCAAGTCAGAATGGAGAGAATAATACGCATTCACTAGTCAAGAAAATAAACCTTTTGTGCTTAATCTTTCATAAGCTGCTCTGAATAAAGTCAGCAATGTTGAACGGCACCATGAAACAAATCACAAAAATCTCGTACAAGACTACTCTCGTAAATCATCTGTAAGGAAACACAGATTAAATGACTTTAAATTAATACTAAAGAAACAGCAGAAAATTATGATATCCTTTGGCTAGGAATTCGATGCATCAATTAAAACTAGTTTTGTTATATTATGAAATATTGATCATGTTAAACACCAATACTCTGACTGTATTTTATTAAAAATATATTGCGGATGTTGTCGCAGTCAATAGCCTTAACGCCGGTTTCCTGTTTCCAAAATTAGTATCGATGTAACAGTTACAATGCAAACTGATTTAATGAGCTCTAATATTAATAATTTTTAAGGTTATGCGGCTCTCACATATTTCTGACTTGCTGCATGCGGCTCTTATACCAAAAAAATGTTCCCACCCCTGAATATGCAAACAAATAAGATAGAAATACATAATTTTCAGCAAACGATTTCGAACGATTATTTCAGTCATTTTATCCTGCATCAAGTATGACAAATTAGTTGAAGGAGACTAAACCTTTGTAGACACATTCTCAAGACAAGGATAAAAATTGTCATTGAAATATAACTTATCAAATTGACAGGAAATTAAAGTGTAAAATATTTACAAGAAATATTTGCGTAGTTGGGCAAAAGCAAATCCGTCAGTCGTGTCCTTTGTAGTGAGCGGTACGATCAGTTTATTCTTATCACTAATTATATTATTCCAAGCTCCATAGAAGCTTGAATTCTCATTGAAAAAGTATAATATACCTTCAAGAGGATAATTTACTTGATCTTATCAATTTAGAAACATTATAAAGGAAATGTTAAATCCCGCTCTTATTGCAAATAAACTTGAAGAAGGTCGTGGAGTGTGGATAGGATTGAAAGACATGGCAGAAATTTCCGCATGGAAATGGATCGACGGTATTGCATCGACCAGAGCTAACACTCCTTGGGCACCTCTTACACGAAACAACCTTTTATTTATGGATAGCTGTGGAATGCTGCGTAGATATAGAATGTTAGATTGGTATGTTAATAAACAGATTTGTGCATTTACCAAGGCATATGTTTGCGAAATAGTAAAAAGTAAATGACAGACGCAAAAGAGTGTCAGAGAATATAATTTTCATGCTTATAATCGTTTCTACATGTTGTACTGTTCATTTCAAATTGTAACTTAAGAACTAACGTTCGAACAATACATTCCTTTTTCTCAACAAAGTTCAACATAACTTTACTTCATGTCCGGAACGACATTGTCAAATGTATATTTGTCATAGGTCTATATTTCTATAATCAAGTCATATGTGTGGTCCAACCAAATATTCCAGCCAAACATTGGTTCAGATTGTTCAATGAAAAAAATGCTTCCTCAAATTAGGTAATCTCGGGTATATTTGGAACCAATTACTCACTTAGTTGTGTTTAATCATATCTATTAGGCGGTGTTTAAAAAAAATGATCTCGACTAGAGAAATGGCAGGGCTATTTGCCATGACACTCAGTAACGTCTCGAGTATTTTATTAAAGAATCGTCAAGTTTGTCTTGACCGTGAAAAAGCCAAAATACTGCATTGCCCTCCGTAAAGCATGGGGTCAGTTTGTATTCTTCAGTACTGTATTCTTAAGACCAGACACGGAATGAATATACTTCATATATTTAAAAAAAAAAAAAACTGGCTTTTGGCGATTAGCTATTGAAAAACATGGAGAATTAGAATACAAAAATCTTTATATTTAATAATTTTAATCATATGGAATAGCGAGCGAATTATAAAATCCAATTCAATGTTATGATTTTTGCAAATGACTACTTTATTTGTACAATTTTTCTGATATTAGATGAGAGTAATTTTATTCGGAAATAGTAAAAGGCGATAACTCATGAGAGTTGTTTTCAAAAAAAAATGGGACAAAATACAAAATTTATAATAATTTTCATCCCACTCGTATCATTTAATAGACATTGACAATACATCAAAAATATTCAATGGATCTATATGAGTGAATTGTAGTTAATTCGAAATAAGTGATGTGAAATGTTACAAAAAATCATGTTTCACTTCTAACTAAAATTTGAATGTATATGAAAATTGCATTGTTTTGCAAATATTGATTCGTTAAATATTTCTTTTTAACTTTTGTAAGCTGAATTTTAATTAATTGACTATGTTATAGAATTGATTATTTCTGATCAAAATACTGTCTTTTCTCTCTTATAATGTATGAACATGAATAAAAATTAAAATTATTAAACCCCATGGAAGTTTTATTGCACTGCATGAACAAATACATTTTAGAGTAATTTTATTACAAACAATTTTTCAAATAGGTAGGTTAATGAAGCGCATTGAAGAGCAATGATCAGTGTATTTCCCTCAAAACATAATATCAAGAAACAACTTGAACTATCGTTCTCGTGAAGCACAAGTCATTAGTTGCGTCACGAATGGCTATACTAAAGAGAAGAGCTTGAGAGCTTTTAAAGCGCTTCCATGAATACTCTAGACCGCTGTCTGTCCGCGAAAAATTTCGTTGTTTTCATGCCGTCTCAATTGCTTTGTCGAAGACGGAGATTGCGTTGATTTATTACGCAATTTCTCTTCTGTCGTCATAGTGCGACGTCTTTCGCCAGTAATCACACTTTTCGCTTTTCCGGCTCCGAGTCATCGCGAATGCGCTCCATCAAATCTCGCAAGATGTAGAAACAGCACGCGTGCTTTCTCTGTGCTGCGTGCTTTTCCTGATTAATATGACCATCTATATAAAACTTTATGCATATTTTTTTTGTTTAAACCAGAAAACATTCAAGAACAGTATACTATTACAGTAAGATATGAACTAGTTGCGACCCAGCAGGTGGCCACGAGACGCGCAAAAAAACATGGGCCGCAGAGATCTTTTTTAGTATTTTGAGCAGACACAGCGGGCTATTGAGCTATAGGTGCCAAGTTTCTGACAACTTTGTCATTCTAATGTAAATTCATATTGTTTGAGGCGTCGATCAACTGCAGGAGGATTAATATTATGAACCCGATGAAAAAGAGAAAAGCTTGATTAAAATTGTGATTCTACTTTATAGTCCACATTTAAAAAGGTATCACTGTCGCAATTATGGATATCTTTCGATAACGAATACCCATCGCTAAGTAATCGAGCAATTAAACTGTTGTCCGTATTTTCAACCAGTTACTGCGTTATGCGAAAAAACGTTTTTCTCACTAGCTTTAATCAAAACGAAGCAAAGAAATCGGCCGTACGCCGCTGCAGAGCTCCGGGTTGCAGAAACTTCTTTGAGGCCTCGTCTGCAATCCTATAATGGAAACGAAACAGCAGCGAAATCCTCACTTGTGTTTGTACATGATTTAGCATGTTTAATTTATGTGTAATTTATTTATAAAAACATTAAAATAAACCCCATTAGTTTATTATCCATTAAAAATAATCACAACCAACAGTAAATAAAACAACTTTTACGAACATTTTTAGGTTTTTTAACTGTTATATATAGCCGATATATATATATATATAACGGCCGGTCACAGCCGATATGATATATCGCCAAACACGCAATATCGGGCCGATATATCGGTTGAGCTCTAATGCTGAGGGCGTGTAACAATAAAGATTCATGCCTCCAGTCTCGTGAATCAAAATACCAAAGGAACAAGTCACGACTGTAGTTGCCGGTACCTAGTAGTCTACCTCAGGGTGGTTTAAGGTTGCTAGGTTGAATGACCGCAAAAACTTTTTAGGAGATCTCGCGGGCCGCAAGTCGGAGAAAACCCAAAAGTGATCAAAATATTGCGAGCCTTTAATTTAACCCAACCCAGCCGGTCGGTCTGGTGCCATTTTACATGGATTATTTTTTTTGTCAACCATTAAACCCAAAAGATTCACTCATGACTTTTTAATGTCGTGTGCTAGAGTTATATTCAGCAATATATGTAAAACGCACTTCTCTAAAAAAATATTTTTTATACGTCAAAATTTCTACTGAACTTGCGAGATTTTGTGTCTAGTAGAGTGTTAATAATTATTCCTAATTAATTAATTTTATTTCAACGTTTTCTTGTGTTATTTTCCAACAAAACAACACCAAAACCACTATTATAGCAAGAATGGTTACTCTTAAATTCACGATTGTATTTACAAAATATTCAAGTTCGAGGCTTCAATTGACAATTTTGATGACGCCACACCTCTGATTATTACTGCACAGCCCACTCTCAATGCAAAAATGTTACTTTTTTCGACGGAAATGCGCGTAGAAAGACGTAAACATTCTAATGCGCGCCGTTACGAGTGAAAATTACCATTCATTTTACGTTTTTTTCACGTTTGAAAAAATCTCTATACCTCTGCCAGGTATGGTGCAGTCGAAATCATATTTTTCAAAACATCACAGGGCCAGTGATGGAATGTATAACTAACCCTTTTTCGTGAAATATACTACTCCACCATTGAACATTAACCGTAAAACACCATAAATACCTTTTAGAGTTGAACTAGGCATTAATAATACTACATTTAAACTATATATATATATGCCATCCGGCTGCGTTGTTAATAAACAACGAGAGTTTACCGTTCTAATCAGACTATTATCATGTTGCATAGGTGGCGTTCTTTTAAAGAAGATATATAAAGTCTTCAGTTATTTTAAAATTAATTCCCGAAAATTACCGATGTATTTTTCGCATTTTGGATTTCAACTAGACACTGTGTGGTAGGCAATGAAATACATTTACAAGCCAAGTCTTAGTTGGTATTTCTGGACCTGGCTAAAAAAAACTGGATTGCGCGGCGTTAAGTCGGCTCTGTGTTTCGCTACTGTCACATGGCCCACGCTTGAAAGCAGAAGAGTGCTTTTACTGAAATAAAGGCATAAAGTGTTAGAAAATAGGGTTTGAATCTCGAGATCCCAACCCCAGTTGGAATAACTGAAAAAAAGTTCTGCTATTAGATACAAATATACGCTAAAATTGGTCTGTGGGCCGCACGGAATGTATCAGCATGATAGGGTTTGGACCACCCTGGTTTACCTTATCAAAAAACTCCCGACTTCGCTGACCACTAGATCGTTGAAATGCGATCGTGGAACCGCCACATAGTGCAATAGTTCATTAGTCCAATTGTTGAAGGGAAAAGAAATCTTTTTTAAATAAAAATGCAGCAACAAGGAAGATACTAAGAAGAAAAAACAACACAATTTGAGAAAACGACTCATAGGCCCACTTCGTGTCAAAATAAGTTTCAGGCATCAGAATGTCAAATTTTTGTCAAATTCAAGCGAGCGAAGAATCGGACTCGGAGGAAATTGTAAATTAGATACTGAAGTTTGAGCAGTCATGTCACATTTCTGGTTTGGGAATATTTATTTTTTGCTGTTTAGATAAAACATGGATAATTCGCAACAACATTCAAGACAAAAGTTAGGCAGGTGTTATCTGAATTTTATGATTTGAATAAACCTTAAATAAATGATGAAACATTCACCCCGGTCACAATTACATAATCAAATTATTGAAACATAAAAAATGCAAATTTTTGTGGCGATTTTATTAAGAATGCGATCTTATTGGCAGTGGCGGAATATTTTGTATACGTGTGTGCAGTTATCTGCATATTCAGTACTCGTTCGTTTTTGTGTATGACCTTATTACGATCAGTCGATCGCGAGCTTTTTTTGACGTTTTCAGTCGATCGCGGTCGAAAGCAGGCTGGCATCCCCTGATATATACCAACGGTGGGCAAACCGCGGCTCGCGAGCCCGGCGAACCGCATGCGGCTCTTCTCGCTATCATTAATTTACTATCCAAATTTAACTAGGAGAAAACTGTAAGCGTAACAGTACTTTTTTAAATTTATTAAGCGTCGAAGAATTTTTCATCAATGATTAAGACAGAATATGTTTAGTATGAAAATCGTTGTGGCCGTGGAATCTTAAATCAGTCAAGCGACCAATGTTACGTCACAATAGTGTATGTTGCTGAGTTGGCGGCATTGCAATTTGAGTGCGGTTAGTCTCACTTGCGATATGTCAAGTAAAGAGGAAATATTCGAAAGATGAAAACAGAGTTGTCAAGTCAGAATGCGAAAGCAATAATACGCATTCACTAGTCAAGAAAATAAACCTTTTGTGCTTAATCTTTCATAAGCTGCTCTGAATAAAGTCAGCAATGTTGAACGCAACCATGAAACAAATCACAAAAATCTCGTACAAGACTACTCTCGTAATCATCTGTAAGCAAACACAGATTAAATGACTTTAAATTAATACAAAGAGACAGAGAAAATTATGATATCCTTTGGCAAGGAATTCGATGCATTCAATTTAAAACTAGTTTTGTATATATTATGGAATATTGATCATGTTAAACACAATACTCTGACTGTATTTTATTAAAAATATATTGCGGATGTTGTCGCAGTCAATAGCCTTAACGCCAGTTTCCTGTTTCCAAAATTAGTATCGATGTAACAGTTACAATGCAAACTGATTTAATGAGCTCTATATTAATAATTTTTAAGGTTATGCGGCTCTCACATATTTC